CAAGCAAACCACTTCTGAAGATGCAAGCCACTCGTGCTTGCGAAACGTCAGGAAGAAATTCCATTTTACGACGGCCTAAAAACCCGAAAAACCCACTAGTCTGAACTAACTGTTGCAGGAATACATGCGGGGAGTTGGAGAATGGTCGTTTCTGAATTGTCCCAATCTGGTGCGCTTTTTCGGCGTTTGTTTCTCGATGGGCAGTACCGCGCCCCTGATGGAATATTGCAAGCTCGGCCGCTTGGATGAGTACCTGAAGGCGAACAAGTCGAACATGAAGCTGTTTAATCTGATCGAGGCGTGCGTGGCTTTGGCATTGGCGCTTTGGCATCTGGTAAGTTGCAGATGGGCCTGTGGGACGTTTGCGAGACTGACCGGGGGATGATTTCAGCACGAAAACAACATGATACATGGCAGGGTGCGCTGTCGAAAGCTGATGGTCTACCAGCACAACGAAAAGGGTTTTATTGTCAAGTTGACCGATGGCGGTGTGAATACGCCACATGTGGATGAAGAGTGAGTGGCTGCACCCTCAAACGCTCACCCCCATTGGCTAATGTAATTTTCAGTATTCATTGGACGGCCCCGGAATGCTACATAACGAAGGACCGGCGATCGCCTGAAGCGGACATTTGGGCGTTGGCCACCACCTTCTACGAAATATTCGCGTGGGGCGAGCCGATTCCCACGCACCGAGCAGCGTCCGAATTGATGAAGGTGAGTTACAACATCGCAGCACCCTCTAGGCGCTGGGTGAAAAACAGTACTGTTGCAGTGGTACGAAAACGGAAACCGATTGAGCAAACCGATCGATTGCCCTGAGGAGGTATACAACCTCATGATCCAGGCGTGGATCCCTGATCCCCAGCTACGCAAAAAAACCCAAGAACTCAGTCGTGATATGAACCAGTTGGCGTATCAACTGTTCAATGATAGTCACGAGAGGGCGTACGAGCTGGTGACGATGCCCACAAGGAGCGTCTCAGCCGAGACGATTGTGTCGAGTATGGGAAGCGGTGAGTTTTAGACCTTCATATCAACGCATTTTTTTGTTCGAAT